TTTTTTTTTTTTTTTAATTTCTCTTGTCAGTCTTGCTGGCACCCAAATGTATGTCAGCATTCCTAGAAAAACATAAACAAAACTCTCCTCCCAAATTAATATTTAAGAGTATTAAAAATCTCAGGGTAAAAATTTAGCACAATCAGTACTGGAAGTAGGCTGGTTTTGAACTTAGAGACCTGCATGTCTCTGTTTCAAAGAGCAAATCTTGTTTGCCTGTGCCTTAGAATTAAACCGTTTTAAATCTGGCACAGATGAGATTATTGCTCCAAAAATATGGGAAAACCGTTTTCCTGTTCCCAGCCTGGAATCCTAAGATGACACAGTCACTGGGAATCGAACTTACAACCTCTGGAAGAGAAGGCAGTGCTCTTAACCTCTGAGCCATCTCTTCAGCTCCGCTATTCAGATGAAAAAAAGCCTCTAAGTCTAGCATTGTTTATCTTATCTTATCCGTTGCCTGAGGATAAGTCCGCCTCTGTTACCTAGGATACGGGTAACCAGCAGCAGACGGCGGCGGCTTCGACAGCTCCGCCTCTGAGGCACGGCACACTGTGGCGCGCTCAAACAAAGGCATGGCCCCGCCCGGGCCTTGCTCGTTTCCGCCTGCGATCTGTGCACCCTGAATGAGCCCGCCCATGTTGCTATGGAAACGCGGCTTTCCGCACAGCCCGTGCTCAGGTGCAGAAAAGGTCCTCCGAAAACCGCAACCCTGCCAGAAGGCCGGGACACATAGCCTCTGATGTCAGTCACTTTAGCCCGCCCAAGCCGCCACAGCGACCTGGCTTTCTGTAGACGCCTCTGCGGACTCCAGCAAATTCCCGCCAGCATCTGGTTAGCATGGCCACGCCTCCCGGACGAGCCAGCACTCTCCGGTGCTGTTCTGCACCTCCCTCCCGAGCAGCCGGGACCATAGGCGTGCGCCACCGCGCCTGGCCCAACTCCGTGTCAGTTAGCCACTGCAACGGTTGCCCAGTATTTCAAACATACATATGAGAGCCAGGCATAGAGCTCTCCCATCAAAATTAGGCGAGAATCACCTCAAAAACTCTGTGGCTCTTTAAGAACAGGGAAGGCAGTTGTCAGAGGGGACGGAAGCCGCGGTTTCCCGTACCCCATCGTCCTCATAGTCCCGCCTTCAGTTACCTCATTTTTTTCTGCTGTTTTTTCAAATTCCTCCTGCACTGAACTTAAGGGATTTTTCTTCCCCGTTGCTTTTTGTACCTTCTTTCAGATACCTTAACTTTGATTCTTTCTATTTTCTTTTTCCTCCCCCACTGGAGTCCTGCCAGCAACGGCTTGCAGGCCAAGGGCGGGAAGTCGTGGGCGGGGACTCTGCCGTTTGCCCTGGGCTCAGGGCTTGCTGGCCGGCCGCCTGCAAACCTCACTCTCCGCTGCAGGCACAGCGGGAGGCCAGGCAGGCCGCTGGTCCTCAGCGGCCCCCTGCTGGTGTTTCAATAAACAAACAGACAAACCATAAGGATGCACAATAGAACAGACCGATAATCAGACGCGCTGCACAGACGGAGGTTACTACAGAGGGGCTCCCGGGCACCCCACCTCCCAGACGAATCCCAAACCCTCAGACAAAGTCCGATTCTGGTCGTGGGTTCAAACAGACGAGTCCCGTACCCTCGGACAAAGTCCGATTCTGGTCG